GCCAGCCGGTGCCTGTGAGTCACGGTACCTTCCCCAGCACGTCCCCTGTCTCCTCGCAGCCCGCTGGGGCTATAATTACTTGTGTCAAGGTGACACGGGGTGTAAATTTGGCTGCTAATCTGCGTGTAGATGTCTCCTTTGAACCACATCCCCATAGCTGGAGCAGCAGCTCTGCGGCGCCCGTAACAACCCGAGGCCTGAGAGCCCAGACGCTGCGGAGCAGCTCGCGCAGGACGCGCTGACAGAGATTTGAAGGGCAGGTCGAGTGCAGGTGAAGAACAAACTGTTCTCTAGTCACAAGCAGAAAACAAGGCTCTGCTTTAAGGGCAGGGTTGTAAAAACGATGGGCTGCCACACAGCTGGTTTGGATGGACGCCCTGACGTCCCAGGGGAGTTTTCTGGGGCAATTCCAGGCAGGTCTGGGGGTGCTGACCCTGCTGGGAGCCCTGAGCCTGGTGGGGATCTCCAGTTGTTCTGTGTAGTGTCGCTGTCACAGCCAGGGCAGTGGCAGGGCTGGAAGGTTTCTGTGCTGCCTTGGCGCTGGTGAGTGTCAGTCCCTGCTCTGTCACAGCAGCTTCTGGATAGAGACAGAGCAGGGGCTGCAAAATGGGAGAGAAAAGGGTTATTTGGAAGGATGGAGTTAGTCAAACCTGGGAGACTTGTTTTGAGTCGTGGCTCAGTACAGACATGGGACAGATCCTTCCTGGCTTGCTGGGAAAGAAACGGTGCAGAACTTGCATTGAAATCCTCACAGTGCACACGAACAAGTCCAGAGGAGGCCACCAGGATGATCCGAGGGCTGGAGCAACTCTGCTGTGAGGACAGGCTGAGAGAGTTGGGGCTGTTCAGCCTGGAGAAGAGAAGGCTCTGGGGAGATCTTATAGCGGCCTCCCAGTACCTGAAGGGGCTACAAGAAAGCTGGGGAGGGACTTTTCACAAGGGCAGTTAATGACAAAACAAGGGGAAATGGGTTTAAGCTGAAAGAGGGGAGGTTTAGATGAGATATTAGGAAGAAGTTCTTCACTGTGAGGGTGGTCAGACACTGGAACAGGTTGCCCAGAGAAGCTGTGGCTGCTCCTCCCTGGAAGTGTTCTCGGCCAGGCTGGATGAGGCTTTGAGCAACCTGGTCTAGTGGAAGGTGTCCCTGCTGCTGGCAGGGGGGTTGGGACTGGATGAGCTTTAAGGTCCCTCCCAACCCAAACCATGCTATGATTCTATGAAATATTTTCACGCTGTACGGCCCTGGGAAGCAAAGGTTCGTGTGGGCTGGAAAACAACAAAGATGCCAGTCCAGAGCCGAGCCCCCTCCTCCACCGCCCCGCAGCAGTTCCCTTTGCCCAGCCCTGCTCTGACCCGTGGGGTGCTGTGCTGCAGGGGGGTCGGACGGCTCCAGGCTGTACGACTGCGTCTGGAGGTACAATTCCAGCGTGAACGAGTGGACGGAGGTGTCCCCCATGCTGAAGGCCAGAGAGTACCACAGCTCCACTGTCCTGGACGGGCTGCTCTACGTGATCGCCTCGGACAGCACGGAGCGCTACGACCACGCGGTGGACAGCTGGGAGGCTCTGCAGCCCATGCTCTACCCCATGGACAACTGCTCCACCACCTCGTGCCGCGGCAAACTCTTTGCCATAGGCTCCCTGGCCGGCAAAGAGTCCATGGTTATGCAGTGCTACGACCCCGACAGCGACCTCTGGTCCCTCGTCAACTGCGGCCACCTGCCTCCCTGGTCCTTCGCTCCCAAGACCGTCACTCTCAACGGCCTCATGTACTTCATCAGGTGAGCAGCAGGAGCGATGACCTCCCTCCCCACCCCCACCTCCCCTCTGGGCAAGCCCAGGGTTTCCCCAGGGAGATGTGTGGATTTTGTGGTTGTAGGAGAGCACTGTGTTAGGAAAGCACAGCAGCACTTCCTCTGATGGAGCAGGTGGGTCTGTAAACCACCACGCCTCTTTCCTTTGCTTCTGTCGTAGCCAGACCTCAAAGAACTACACTTAGAATCGTGTTAAAGTGTCTGAGTGCAAACCCACGGGCTGGGGAATGGCTACAAATAACCAGGTATAAATCTGGCTGAGGTCAGCAGTGCTGCTTGGAAATAGACTTCTCAGTTTTCTCAGCTTCTGGTTCAGCCCCCCCCGTTGCTATAAATAAGTGAGTAAGCTCCAAGAAAACGTTAAACTGCTGCTGGAGGACATCCTCCGTCTCAGCGGAGATAAGAGGGCTGAAGGTGAAATGATTGGTCACTATTTTTAAGCGCCTTCCCAAATTGGGAGTTAATTACCCATCTGAAGCTGTCCTGGTGGCACAAATACTTTGGTTATCCACTTAATTAAAAATAAACCGAAAGGCATGCTAGGGCTGAAGCGTCTCGTCTTGGTGCGGTGACTCCGAGCAAACACAGACGCCTGCGATGGCCTCCAGACACAGTTCTCTCTTTAATCTCCTCTTGGCTTTGCACAAAGCAGCAGCTTCTACCCAGGACGTTTTATTTGATTCATTTGAGCTCAGTGAGTGTCGTGGTTCCTGACAGCTGTTGGCAGGTGGCAGTTTGCATCACCTGATTTTCAGTAAATCCTGGAAAGGTGTTTCTAGTGTTTGGCTACTTGTCACATCCAGTTCTATCCAGGTTTTCCTTTTTCTTACCCATTTTAAAATATTGATGATTCACACTTCAGGATTTCTGATCGCTTACCTGTCTGCAGGAGTTCATGAGAAGATTATCAGGGTCAGGTTTTTTCCCCCCTCATTTCACGTGCTGCATGTGGACTGCTGCTCTGTACGAAGCTGTAAGGGGCTGTGAGCTCCTCCTCTTTGGAGGACAGAGGAATAGGTTACAAATAAAAGCCACAGACTCATTTTTTAGTTAGTTTTAAATAGTCATTTTAAATAGCTCAGACTAAAGCTTCTGATCCCATCTAGTGGGACGAGTTTTATAACTACAGATGTGGCACAGCAGCAGTGAGGCTCAGCTCTCCAGCTGCATCCTTTTTAGAGCCAGCCCTGAGATGGGAGAGCAGGTCCTGGCCTGACCATCGCCAGTGCCTGGAACTGTGTGGTGAGAGCTCTGCCCGTTTCCCTTCCAGTCCATCGGGGTTTCAGCTTCACACTTGGAAGAGTTTGACTCCGGAGTTAGTTACGGGAGGTGTGAACAGCAGCAGTTCTGGGTGCCGGTGGCCCGGCAGCAGCGTTGGGACACACCTGAGCTCCGTGTCCCAAGGCAGGCGCCAGCCCTTGGTTCGGAGCAGTTCTGAGGAAGAAGGTTTGGTCTCAGTGCAGCTCCGTGGGGCTCGGAGCACTCGCTTCCGTGTGCCCGTGTTACAGGTGTTTCATTCAGCTGAGAATCAGTTCAGTTCCAGGCACATCACAAAAGTACTGAAGAAACTGGTTTTAAAGGGTGTATCGTGTGGGCACCTCAGGGGCGCTCGGCCAGAGCGTGACCAGGAGGTCTGACAGCGCTCACCTCGGCTTGGCCACAGGCTCCACAGGTGGATTTCTGAATCAAGGGTTTGTTGTAGGTGTTCCTTGTTTATTTCCACTCCCTCCCCTGCTCAGATTCATGTCAGCAATCGACAGTGGTGCCCTGTCACCCGCACAGTGTGCGATGTCACGATAGATAGATACAAAACCAGTGGAATGTTCCTTGCAGCCTTTTGAACCTGTCTGTGACAGGACTGTCTTGGAGTCACTGACAGCGCTTCTCCAGCACCCTGACCTTGTCCTTTTCGCATTCCTGTGTCAGCAGCACGCGTTTCTGCCTCGCAAACATCCCTCACCTGTCACTGTCACCCTCCCGTCTCGCCAGTGGGGCGGGTGAGAGAAGCCTTGGGGGATTACGCTGCCCTCGACAGCTCTTCTCTCACAGCCCAACCCGTCTAAATTTGGCTTTGGCTAAAAACTCAAGCAGTGGGGATCCTGTTACTTTGAGGCACAGGGAGGTTTAAGCTTCTCCAGAACAGCAGTAATTTATTTTCCAGACCCTGAAGCACTTGGGGCAGAGTGGTCTCTGAAGACTGGCAGGGAGTTAGTCTGTGCACACACCTCCCGTAGGTGCAGATGTGGAAAAGAGACGAGATGTGAGGAAACCCTCAAGACTGCGCAGTGATTCCCAGCCCAGCAGCGGTGCAGCTGCGTGCTGGGCTCCAGGCAGGACTCACAGTCCAGAGCAGCTCACCCGCCGTCCCGGGTGGAGCCACCAACTCGGGGGCAGAGAACAGCCTGTGTGGTCACCCTGCTCTGTCCCCAGTGCCGTCCGCTTTCCCCCGAGGCAGCGTCCTAGTGCTCAGCACACACCAGAAAGCGTGGAGCACGTTGCTTTGCCTGTGGAGAAGCTCAGCAGGGGCACTGGGGCTCTTTGGATGTAGGTCACTGGCTCGGGGAGTGAGAAACGCGCTCCTGCGCTGTGGGCAGTGTCCGTGCTGCGGGGATGGGGCTGCAGCAGAGGGGCCCAGGCGTTTCCTGGGGTCAGACATCACGGCTGGTGCAGGAGAAGCCCACGCTGATGCCTGGGGTCTGCATCAGGACCCACACCTTTGTACAGGAACCCTTTGGCCCATGTGGTGGGATTGGAGCAGAGGTGCTCACGGTGGTGTTTCAGGCTGTTGAACTGGGGGCAGGAGGTTTTTAGAACACAGAAGAGTCATTTTGTGTTCTCTCCCACAGAGACGACTCGGCTGAAGTGGATGTTTACAATCCGGTGAAGAATGAATGGGATAAAATCCCTGCCATGCTCCAGGTAGGACACTCACCAACCTGCCTGCCTGTCAGGGTCAAAATTTGTCTTAATTTACCTTTGGAAGCCGGGTGCTCTTCACATTGTAACCCCTTGGAGTGCATTTAACTATCACAGTCACCTGAAGAAAAAGTCCTGGGTGGTGATTGTGCAGCTGAGTGTTCAGCCCAGCACACAAGAGCCGGGCAAAGCTCCAAGTCTCTGTCTCCTCCTGGTGCTCGGGCAGCGCCGGTTCGGAGCCGGCAGCAGGATGAGACCCACCACCTTTATCATCCGCCCAGTGGGGCACACCCCTCCTTTCTAATTGTCCTGGATATTTATGTTTAAACTGTAGGTTCACGTTGGGGGGAGCGTGGCCGTGCTCGGCGGGAAGCTCTACGTCTCCGGTGGCTACGATAACACGTTTGAACTCTCAGACGTCCTGGAAGCCTACGACCCCGAGACGCGGACGTGGAGCGTGGTGGGCCGCCTCCCCGAGCCCATCTTCTGGCACGGCAGCGTCAGCATATTCCGGCAGTTCATGCCGGAAACCACGCAGGAGGACAACGGCATCACGCTGGACAACACCATCAACCTCAACAGGCAGCACCAAAACCTTCACAACCAGAACCTGAACGAGCTTCGTTAGCAGGGAAAGGCGCTGGCCCCCGGCTCCGTGCCAGGTCCTTTTCCAGAACCAGTGTTGCTTTGAGAGCGGGCGGAGGCAAAACCGGTGCTTGGAAACAGAAACGTACTGAGTGGAGGGAGTGAGAACTCTGCATGTTTGACACGCTGTGGTGGCACCGCAGCCAGCGAGGCCTCTGCTGCGGCGACCCCCGGCCCTTCTCTGCGGTGGGAGAAGGTGCCGTGCTGCCCGCAGGGAGACCTGAGCAGTGACCTCTGAGGAAAGCGGTCGTGTTGAGCGTCACCGCAGCATCGCAGCTCGTGGCTTTTGGTCAGACACCTTTACTGGGAGCCCCGTCACCCTGTAGCGCTTCGTGTGCCACCAAATTCCTTCAGCTTCTTTTTCAAGAAGGGTCTGTCTGGTAGGACAGTGCTCTGGACCCCCACCTCTGCTCTGTGCCTCGGGGGAAGACAGACCTCCTGCGCGTGCCTTCCTCCGCATGGTTAGAGGGGGGAAAGGCTTCCCCTGGGAGCTGGAGGTGGGTTAGGGGCGAGAGGTTGATGTGAGAACGTGGCCCTTCCTGCCTGTGGCCGCAGCCCCTGGCTCCCGTTCGTACCTTCAGTAGGAGCAGGTGTCCTGGGGCAGCGATCTGGCCGAGGCCGGGTTATGAAGCTTCACCTTTCCCTTTGTCTGAACTTCAGTTCTGCCTGCATTTTGTCGGGGTTTTTTTAAGTTGCAGCATTTAAAGTTTTGCAGGTATTTGTTTTCCAACCCCTCCTAGAAAAGCACTTTTTCCTTCTAAGAAGAAACACTCTTATTTATCTTTTAATCGCATTCTGCAGGTAGATGGTTTTCATTTCTGCTCACCCCGGCTGCGCCCTCCTTTAAGGGGAAGGGGAGAAGCGAGGACCCTGGTGGTGGCCCGGGGGAGGGCCCCCGGGCGGTGCCCGCCGCTGGAGCAGCCGTTTCCCCCTCCACGTGTGGGGCTGAACGCGGCAGATAAAGCTGCTGCCTGTGGCGAGGGCTCTGCTGTCGCTTCTGTGCCGAGCTCTCGGCCAGCGCGCTGGGCTGGGCAGACGGGCCCCGTGCAGCAGGGGAGAGTTTTTATTTCTTCACAGTTTTAAAGGAGCTGAGTCAGGTTTGTACTATTTCAGGAAAAAACAAACCCTTCCTGGGAAAGGTGAGTGCAGCTTCCTCGGGAGGTTCACCGCAGGCTTGCGGGGGTTACGACACCCGGTGCAGAATTGCTTCCAAAGGCACCGCCTGGTGTGACGGAACCCACCCGACCCTCGCGGGCTCTCGTGTCTGTCGCCTCCGGTTCGCAGGAGCTCTTGGGCTTTGGGCAATTGGAAAATGCTGCCGAGGTGTTCTGGCAAAGCTGCGGGGGGTAGTTGGCCAGTGTTGCAGGTTGAAGGGTGGGTAGTGAGTTTAGGGTTGTTTTTGTCTTCTTCTTCTTTTTTTGGGGGGTTTGCTGCTTTTTTGGCCCGTGTAAGGTTTGCCTTTATACTTGCCCAAGTGACCGAGCCAGCTTGGGCTGTATTTCCTCTTTATCTACCTGAGCTGAGGAGAAGCTGCGTGCAGTTGACTCGTGGAATGTTTCTTGAACAAGCAAACAGCTAAAACGGGGTGCACACGGCTCCCCCGGGAACGAGCCTCCGTCACACCCGTGGGAAAGCTGTGAAGTGTGACAGTGCTGGGGTGTTGGCCGGATGCGTTCACTTCTGTCCTTCATCTTTAACAACAGAATTTAAACTCGATTCAGAGATGGAATGGAAAGCCCGTACACTTGGTTGCCTGCCTTCTGGCTTGCCCTTGGCGTGAGTAGTGTCAGAGCCCCATCTCCACAACATCGGCCTCTTCACAGCTTTAAAACAATCTGGTTTGCCTTGGATGCTGTTTCACGCCACGTTCCCCAGCTGTGGAACTGGGAAAGCTGCTCAGAAATCTGGGCTGTTCTCCAAGTCTGGAACTTTTGACAGTGCCTTGAAACCGCCGCGCAGCGGTGGGGGATCGCGGGCGGCCTCACCCGGCTGCGGCAGC